TTTACTATGTGACATAAACAGACATAAACAGATGTGTAGTCTTGTTGAAAATAAATCTATTGGCACATTATAAAAACCAGCTGATAACCAGAAAACAACAGCTACAGGGAGAAAGAAAAACTATATGGCCACTGCCTAGAGGGACCAGGGACTGGTCAGTCAACTTGCCCTGCATAAATCTCTTCAGGCCTCAGGCAATAGGCTATTTCGGCCCTGCAGAAACTCATGCACATTCAATGTCTATGTTCTCTTTTTTCAGCCTAGCAACAATTAAAACTTGTTATTATAATGCATATCTGAGTTGAACTATTGAGTGATCGTTGATCGATTTCTACTTTTGTTGTTTTGTTGTAAAGGTCAAATGCTCATGCCCACATTTACTATTTTCCTGGGGGTAACCCAAATATTATTGGACAAGACAGTAAAGTAAAGTTGAACAAGTTGTGACAAATACCAAGTACTATTGAATAGTACGGTCTCGGTCCCCATTGGAGATGGATGAAACACCTCTTCCAGCATCCAATGTTCACTTGGACTTAAAGTTAAACTGATGAGTTTTCAAAAGTCCAATGTCATGGTTATTGTGGCCTCGTGAATGTGTAATATAAAGAGAAAGCAGACTTGTTTGGTGGTGATTTGTGGTCAAAGGTCAAAGTGACTGCGACCTCACAAAATTAGTTTTGGGTCATTACTCAAACATTCACAAGCTAATATGACTTAATATAATTTGAAATGTCTTAAAAATGATTACATTTATTTTCAAAATGTCGAAGGACTAGTTCACAGAGACATCATGATGATCTACAAAAACACAATTGCCTTTATTCAACACCATAACTCAAGAAGGAGAGATTGTGACAACATTTCCTGAATCTTGACTGGTTGGCGGAGGCATTCAACCTCCAAGTGGTTTTTCTATTTCCTTATAGCATCTGAACAGATGTCTTGTTAGATACTTCTATATTAAAAGAGAACACAAACTTGAGAAAAGTCAAACCCAAAGTTGGGCAAACAACTTAGTACATTTACATAAACTTTAATATATCTTTAATACCTGAATTTGTCTTCAGTAAATTCAGTACAGCATCTCCAGGATTAGGGTTAGGGTTACAATACTTGGTAAAGTGTTGGTGTCTTAACATTCATCCAAAGAGGGAACCTGTATAATTCACCACTTCATTTAATCACCTCATTATAGCTGATCAGATGAATCAGCTCATTTAATTTACAGTCTGTGCTTGAAGAGGTCACTGAATTATAATCAAGGAGGTTTGTGGGTTTGCTGTTTGGTCCAAAGAAAACATTCAGAGCCCCTGTACAGGGAGCCCACTTTTCATGAAATAATTACAAATCATTTGGTCTATATAATGTAAAGAATTTGTGAAAAAGGCCCATCACAATTTCTCAGATCCCAAAAACATGTCTTGGAATTACTTGTATTGTCCAACCATCATTGAAGTAATGAAAGGTTTTCAATATACATTAGAGAACCTGCAGCCAGTTTACATTGGGCATTTTTGTGATCTGATTCATCACCAAAGTAATTATTGATGATTTCTTTCGTTTATCAATAGTTTCAACAATTGACAATTCATTTCAGAGCTGGATAGGTTTGGACAAAACAGAAAAGGTCTAGTCACTTCTGTTAAAAAAGAAAAACAAATCCATACATTAGTAAATTCAGTCTACTGTATGTTGAGGATCAGTGTAGCTCTTGGTTTTTCTCAATTCACAGTAGCATAAATATCTAATCTCAGAGAATAATTCAATATCTTCGTGACTGTCAGTGGATCATTATATGATCATAACATGCAGTTGTTTCACGCAGTGCTTTCAATTAGATAATTCCTGTAAATTAATTAAAACATAACGGTAGGTTGGTGAAGAAAATCATTATGATGCACAACGTTGCATTCACTGCTATAGTGTGAGTTACTGTGTATCTAAATTATATTCTTATCTGTATTATATATTAAATTTAGCTCCCAGCCATATGAATAACTAATTAATACTTGCATCAGTGGCTCGTCTATTTAATGGAGGCCTTGTAATCAAAGTGTGGATTTGTTGTACAGTTCCCTTCAGAAATTGAGACTGTACTTAAAAGCCCCATCTGACCCTCAGTCACTATCTTGACTCAAATACTGCAGCTGAGAATAACTGTGTGTGCGTAGACTCTTGACTGTACTTGTGGTTTGAAAAGGTGGAAATGTACAGGTAGTTTAAATCAAGAACGTTCTCTGTTTCCTCTTGACACACTCAAAACACTTCAGTTGATTACCCAGAAGCCATTGTACCCACTGTCAGCTTCATAGTTTTTGTTCTGTGGGCTGAAGAGCACCACTACATTTGTTTTCATGTGTCTGATGCTTTTGTTGTGTGTGCGTGCGTGCGCATGGATTCAGGGTCTGTTATTTAATGGCAGCTGTGTGAGCGGAAACATCCCTATCTTGAACGTTGTCCCCATAATCACAGTCTTTTTTCAGTCTCCCTCTTTCTTTGTCCCTTCTCTTTACCCCTTGTTCTCCTGCAAGTGAAGAATGTCCCATTAACTTGTCTAGCTGTGGCAGTTGTCGTAAAGGGATGACCTACGTTATTATAGGTGTGCGAACACAAGGGCACAGGAAGTCACTGTAACTAAATTAATGTACTTGTGAAATCTATAAAGTGAATACTTCCAAAAATAAGTCATACCCATTTCAATAGGTGTTTTGCCAGGGAGGCCATCTGTTTAAATTATACACAACAATTTTCTATATGATGCACCACTAATTCAATGTTTAATAAAACAGATGATTAAAACACAAAATGAAACATAAATGAAAAAACCTAATTTAATTTGAGGTTTATTTTGATGTAAAGGCATTTGGCGAACTTATATACACATCACTGGTTTTAAATTATTGCTTTATAAAAGACAATCTTAGTTGAAATCAGTAAATGTAATTTAGACAAACACATTTAAAAGTGTTAGCATCACTTATATGGGAAATATTAGAGAAAGTCCTTTTTCAACCACAGTCAAACAAACGTCTATATGGAGACAATTAAATTCTGTGGTTACGCTCCCTGGTGGGAGGCCAGCTAAAATGACACCAACGGCACAGCACAGAATACTAAATGAGGTAAAAAAAAAAAAAGGAGCCTGCAGATCTTTATTTGCTGTTAACATTTCGTTTGATTAATTTTCATATAAGTGCCTTTTTTAGTTGTTTTTGTCAAGATGACTTCAATACCGAAGGTGAAACGATGCTGCAATAAAGTAAAATAATTTTGTATTATAAACCTCAGTCTTCACAGTGTCATTGTCAAACTTAATAACATGATAAACCTGTCTGAGCTGCTGCTCAGTATTTATTTGAATGTGATTCTTAATGTTTCTGATTTGTGCCTTTGTTAATGAGAGTTTTTGATATGTACGTCCTCTCTTAAGAATGTTTTAGTAACTATATGAATATTTTTTATAATATTCAAAACTTCCTTGCTAGTTGGTTTCCTTGGTGACATTATTGCATATTTCCTGACGTCAGGACATGTTTATTCACACAAGCACAGTCAAGAGACAAAACAATCATATTGTAACATGCTCGTCTGCTCGTTTTTGACTCATTGAAAACCCTGGTTACTGCCTTTTTATGAGGTGGAATGATGTAATATTCTTGATTTGGTCTTCCCAGAGAAAAAGCTGCAGTCACAGTGTTTATGGTTTCTGTCTCTGAATCTTTCTTCGCCCAAACATGAACATTTTTGTTTGTCTGCATCCTTTCATGAAATCAATTCACACAGTTCTGTTGTCTTCCAGTTGATCTTTACAGCTATACGTAGCACAGCAGCTGATATTTGAGATGAAAAAGCAGCAATGCTGGAAGAGCCTTGCCTCACTTTTTCATGTTTATCTTTTACTTATGTTGTGAAGAAAGTAAAGGTCATGGGAAACATTTGCTACAGCTGTTTTGTGCAACAGTTGATTTATACACTTGGTTTTTCCTTTTACTTTGTATCATTAAAGTTGTGGAATTACTTGAGACTTGAGAAATAACGACTTGATATGTTTTATAGGCTGAAGCACAGCCAGGCTAGTGCATCTCTCTTCTCAGGGTTTAGTATACAGCAGATGAAGAGAAAACATCTGTGGAGAGCACTGCATTCAGTCTAATTGACTATATTTGACCTCATGACCCTTTGACCCTCAGACCACCTCTCAGATTGTGTCTTCTCTGGTGTGAGAACAAGGGGCAGGGTGCGAGGCCCAAACTAATCCCTCTTGTAGGTTGCTGATGTAGAATAGCACTTGGAGTTTGGTTGTGCCTTATGGTGCTGTCCCTACTAAAATACATGGAAAACAGATGACCTATACATTTGAATATAATCGAATATATATTGGTACATTTACCAATGAGAAACTAAATGTTGGTCGTTCTATTTGAATTTTCACTTTGTGCTGTAATGCTACGTTTTTCCTTTGTGGTTAGTATCACAACATTTTCGTGTATTGGATATTATGGTGTAATGTGTCCGACATGGATCATGTCAGGCCATGTGTTGGTCTGGGTTGTAATGGCCTTTTGTGCTTCAGTTCCCTGCAGCAACATTATTGGGTGTAGCGTGACACCTAGTGGCCAAAACCTCCTAGTGCGTCTTGAATTTTTTCAGGATACAATGTTGCCATTTTTGATCCACCTACTAATTACTGCCTTTCAAATGTCCTCATTAACTCAAATTAAAATGTCTTCAATTTAACGTAGATGCATTTATCCTGTAGAAATGTGCGTGAATAACTGTATAGATATTCCACAGTGATTTATTCACAGATTTTCTCTCTGTCCTGCTGTGAATCACTCATGAACTCTGACATACACCTGGATCCATTCTGTCATAAATGATTTCAGTCTAATTGAATATTTCTTCTTTTCTCTCCCACCAACTGTCTCCCCTCTGTTGACTGCTTTTTCCTGTCGTCCGTTTTTTTTCTGACCCTTCCGTGCCATTCTTCTTTACAGACACTCAAACGGCTGATTCCAGACGAGGTAGGTTTGTTGCGGCTTACAACCATCACCCCCTGTGCTTGACCCGTCAGTTTGTCACTGTGCTCTCTGATAAATGATCTCACCAATATCCATTTAATGTCGCGTCACTGTCTGTCTTAAACCTAATCCATCATAACACGTGTTGTTAAGTTTCTGTGTTTTATCTTGTGCTGTACTCACGTTGGATGTGCATGGTTTTAAGATGCACACTGACAGCATGAAATGCTTGGCACATAGACAAGTGATGCCTCTATGTGCAGGCAACAGGAGGTTGCCAAGATCTTATCTAACGACTCATTATTTTAAATATTTAATCAATCATTGTACAGGGTCATTATGTCACTATGTGCCAAGGTTACCTTCACCCATAAGTTTATGTTCTTCACTGATGTTTAGTTTTCTGGCAATAAATAATAAACACTTAACTCTCAAATATTGGCAGTTTACCACACAAAGTCATTAAATCCAAAGGGAAGGAAGTTCTCCATCATTTGTTAAAACTGTCACAGTTTGTTGACTTTGTGTGGTGTTATGTTGGCACAACCCTTTGGTGTGTAATCCCTATTCTTCGTCTCAAATTGGTTTCTTTTGTTGGAAATGTAACTGCCCAAAATTAAACAAGAAATAACCCATGGGCATTTTATTATTGTTCAAATATTTAAATTCGATATTAAGACAGTGGGCCCATTTTTAAACTGCGACTTGATTATGGATTGCTCCCTAATGGCTTATTTTTGTGTCAATATAGTGACTACATTTACATGGACAGCAATATTGCGTAGGGCTTGTTTAATATATGTTGACCTTATTCTGAATAAGACATAACTTTGATTTTGATGTTTATATGAGACACCAATAGAATATTTCATTCATGTTCGGAATACTTCACGTCTTAATTCAAGTATTGCTTAATTCATGTGTGACCTTATTTGAATTAAGGTAATCATAAAATGCTATTTACATGGCAGTGTCTTATTCAGACTATCGTTTTAATGCTGCTGTCCATGTAGACATAGTTGCTTTTTTTGTTTTTTTCTTCTTCTGTTCAGACCTCTGTCCTCTAACCGGTCTTGTTGTTTAATCATGCAGTTGGAGCGTTTCACCAGCATGAGGATAAAGAAGGACAAGGAGAAGACGGGCCATGTGCCAGGTCAGCGTCACTCTTCTGCCGCCAGCTATGAGACCAATTCTCAGACCGCCATGCTGAAAGATCATTCCGATGAATATGTCCTGGAGCTCTTTGAGCAGATGTTGGTGAGAAAGACAGGAAAAGTGTGCATGGATGTGTGTGTGTGTGTAAACCCACAAATAGTAAATCACTCACTAGCCTTCATATTGATTCATCCTGATACTGCTCTATGAATTTTGACAACATAGTGTGATTTCTGTAGAAAAACCATCAGTGTGACAAAATGTGAAGGACGGTTTTACAGCACCAACGACAAACATCTTGAGTCAAAGTGCAATGTTTGAAATTATATATTGAAAGTTTTTTAAGTAATGTTGCTTTATCTTAGTTAAATCACCTCTGCTCAAACTTTGAAACTGAGCATCTGTTATTGTTGCCGTCTGTTTTTGCCTTAATCTACCTTCATTGTCCTACATAGGAAAGATAAGTTGACATACTTAAATGTACTTCTTCAAATACACCAATACAATATTGATTCAATTTTTATGATGCGTAGATTTGCTGTTTATTCAGTCTACAGATTTTTCATTGAGATACATATCCTTGTCTCACAGTATGTGGTTGATTTCTCCATCCTTCTCCTTTTCTTCCTCTCTTCCTCCTCCTGTCTTCCGCCAGGTGGATATGAATCTGAATGAGGAGAAGCAGCGACCTCTGAGAGCAAAAGACATTATGATCAAACGAGAGATGGTCTCCCAGTACCTCCACACGTCCAAAGCCGTTAGTACCAAAATAAGAATTTTCCGAAACATTGAGCTGAAAGGGATTTTGCAGGAAGCTGAATGCATCTTGTTGTTGTTGTTGTTGTTCTCTGTTTTGGCTAAAATCACTTACATTGCATTAAGACCTTAACATTTCATATCATCCTATTTTAAATACATATACATAGTGCTACATATCGATCTGTTCTATTAGTCAGTAAGACTATACAATCTTGGAATTACTATTCATGCACCTGTGCACACAAGGGCCCTTTCTTGACAGTTAAGTTCATGATTTATTTGCATTTTATTTTACTTTCAAAAGCAGCAGATGAAATATAATCAACAGTGCAGAAATCGAGTAGCTCAAAGGGCCTGTAACAGCAGGCACAGATGGTTGCTCACACGATTCATTTAACTGTGAAATATTCCTATAAGAGAAAAATCCTACACACAGTAACCTCTAACTCTTCAGATCAACATATCAAATTAGCTTGAGTGTTGCCCTCTGTGCCCTCCTGATGAGCTGTCTTGTTGAAAATAAAACCAATTGCAACCTGTAAGAACCGAGATATAAAATAAGGGCAAGACAACAAAGTGATTTAGTGTTTGTGTGCCTTGTGTGTCTGTCTGTGTTTGTCCATCAGGGCCAAAACCAGAAAGAGAGCTCTAAATCAGCCATGATGTACATCCAGGAGTTAAAGTCAGACTACCGAGACACGCAACTGCTGAGCTGCCTGGAATCTCTACGAGTCTCCCTTAACAACAACCCTGTCAGGTAATACACACACGTATACTACAGATACACACACTGCATATAAAATTGCTGTAGGAATTGCTTTAAAATTACTCTGTCAATTTCCTAGTGCAGCCAGGCCAGAGTTCATAACACAGATCAGATGAGAGCTTGAGAAGGACATAAAAACTGCTTATGTTTCATTGCAGTGTTCAGACACGCAAAGGTGATAAATAAGATTCAGATGCATTCATGAAGACTATGCAGTGTTGCATATCAGGTCGAGCTTTGCACTCACACAGGTGATGTCAATGCAGACACTCTATTATGTGATTAATGCGGGCAGCTTT